CCGGGAACCGGTTTCCCCGCGGGGGACTGTCCCCAAAAGGGAAAAAAAAGTAAATAAACATAAAATATTTTGCTTTTCACCAAAGTCGGAAGTTCTCTCTTTTATCGCCGTCGCCAAAAACAGGAACGGGCAACTCAAATCCTCCCCCCCCCCCTTTTACAATGCCTACACACACACACACTGCGCTTCTCTCCCCCCGGCCAATGGGGAGAGGGTGCAATACGGCCAGTTCCGGACAGCACGCTTCTCCAATGGTCGGCGGGAGAGAGTGGTGTGAGAAAGCCGAAGAAGTCAGGAGGCCGCTATAGCCATTTTCTTTCCGCTCGTCGGCGGTTTGTTTCTCACCGCCATGGAGATCTGGAACGCACCGTTTCCTACATCCAGAAAGGTAAGCGCTGCTTTGAGGGCTCGCCCCTTGGTCTGTTTTAATCCGTGCCGTTTCTTCCTTGGTTCCGCAGGTGAACCCCAGTTCGGCGTTGGCCGTCTTCAGCACCGCTCGAGCACCATCGTGTTCAGCGCATTCAAGGAGATGGTGGCCGGTGTCGGCCTACTCGCAGCAAGCCTGGCAGCCGGGATCAGCGTTCAACCGCATGTAGTGCCTACGCACCGGGATCATGGCACTGTGGGTCCTGAGACGGCGGATGACGGCCGCTGTCCCGCCTTGTTCTTTGCGCCTCTTCGTCCGACCGGCCTCAAAAGAATTCAGCGAGCGAAAAATACGCCTAAGACGCCGCCCCGACGACATCGTGGACGAAACCGTGACTGTGCTCGGAATTTCTCAACGGTGACGGGATCTGCTTGCGAGTTCGTGGTTTTCGCTAAACGTGCTTACTGAGACTGTGTATGTGTACGTGAGGTGCACCTGCTCCGTTTTATTAGCTGAACTACCGTACATCAGGAATTTACCCAACGGCATTGTGAGTACTTTGAGATATATTTTTCGTTGTGATAAAGTTAGTTGTTCCTATTTTATATGATCTCTTTCGTCGACAGCTGCTTGCGCCCGGGTTTGAACAAGCGTTGGTTTTTATTGTCTTTTTGAGTGTTAATACGCATGTAAAACTCAATGTCCGCATAAATTTTCAATAACGTTTTGAACTGAATTTTTGTCTATGGTTCACAGTCATTTGGGCGTCTAAGGGGTTGATGGGCTAAGGGGTTGGGGTTGAAGGGCTGTGGGGCTGGGTTTTTTTTTCTGAGGGGTATATCTGAAGGGTATTTTTGAAGGGTTTTGAAGGCCTGTGCGGTCCCATAATCCTTCAAGGCTGATGGGCCCTTTAGAATTATTTTCAATAGGGTCTTTATCACCAAGAAAAATACCTTTGAGAGTACTCACAATGCCGCTGGGTATATTCCTGATGTCGGTGGTTCAGCTAATTAAACCGAGCAGGTGCGCCTCACGGACACATAGACAGTCTCAGTCAGCACGTTTAGCGAAAACCACGAACTCGTAAGCAGCACCCGCCGCCGTTGAGAAATCCCGAGCACAGTCACGGTTTCGTCCGTGATGACATCGCGCCGGCGTCTTCGGCGTATTTTTCGCTCGCTGGTCTGAAGTCGGACGGACCAAGAGGCGCAAGGAACAAGTCCGGACAGCGGCCGTCATCCACCGCCTCAACACCCAGAGTGCAATAATCCCGGTGCGCAGGCACAACATGCGGTGGGACTCTGACCCCGACTGCCAAGCTTTGCAGCGAGTAAGCCGACACCGGCCACCATCTCCTTGAATGCGCTGAACACAATGACGCTCGAGCGGTGCTGAAGGCGGCCTGCGCCGAACTATGGTTCACCTGCGGTACCAAGAAAGAAACTGCACGGATCAAAACAGACTAATTGGCGAGCCCTCAAAACCATGCATGCTCACGTTCCTGGAGGAAATTGGTCCACTCCAAACAGCCCGGCTCGTGGGATAACCGGAACCGCACACGAGCAGAGAGAAAATGGCTATGGCCTCCCCCACTTGCACACACCACCCTCCCCCCCCCCCCCCCCCCCAACCGCTGGCCTGGCAGCCCTGCAGCCTCTCCCCATCGCCGGGCGGAGAGAGGGGATTGCTTTTTGGGGACAGTCCCCCGTGGAGGGACCGGTTCCCGGAACGAGTCGCTCCCGCGTGCGTCCCTGTTCCTGGAAAAGCGCGCACTGCTCTCGGCTTGTTTTTTTTCGTGTTTTTTTTTATACATGGTTGCACAGATTTCGCTTCGAGCTGACAGGATTGCGTTCGCCTCAAAACGCCGCTCGGCCAACACCACTTGGCCCGCGGCTCGTCGATTCTCCACATGGGGCGGTCGCCCTCAGTGGCCTCTTCGGCGACCGAACACCCGGGCAGTGACAGACGGGTCCAGGAGCCCACTCGTATTTGATACAAGAGCAGTAGTAAAAATCTGACTGTTAACACACACAGGATCGGCATTCTCCAAATACTTATTTTTTTCCCCCGTAGCGTACAATAAGCAGCTATGTTCATTAATTCTGCGAAATGTGTTTTTTTCCACCTAGGCCGTTGCCCACAGACATCTCAAAAAGCCTGAAGGTTTTCCCGATCCCATTAGAAAAGTTCTTGACAGGCTATCAGACATTTCAAGGCATTGTAAAGGGCACTTTAGACATTTCAGGAGAGCCTCAGACGGGGCCAGTGAACCCACCAGGAAATATCGGTGCCTCCTTCAAACATCTCAGAAATTCCTGAAGTCCACTTCACACCCTTTAAAAAAATCCTGAAGTCCCATCAGAGCGATTTTCAATAGGGTGTAATGTACTTTTGCGGTAGTTATTCGAATATTATAAACATGGAAACGCTTATCTTAATTTTTATAATCAGAGAGGGGAAAAAAAGAGCAAAAAGCTGTCTTTACACAATTTGACGTGCCCTTGCGGAAATCCCATAATTCAAGCCGCCGGAACAAAATATTGAAAAAAAAAGGTTAAATTATCGATAAAACAACCACAAAAACAATGTGTATTGTTTTACATCTTTTTGATTATTAAAGTAACATATATTTTAAGTGATGCAACATTTTAAGCAGCGCTGAACACACACAACCTCAGATGACTGCGTAATGTATCGTGAAATTACTAACGAATCACATGCTGCACTTGTTCAGGCTGAGTTATGCGAGGTTTGGGAATGGTGTACCTTATGGCAATAGCTCTCAATACTACCAAATGTGGAACTATGAAGATGTCTCGTCGTAAGACGTCACCTTCACCGTACACTATTTGTAATACTCAACTGACATCTCTGACCTCATTCAAGTTTCTTTGTGTTAACATCCCTTCAAACCATCATAGCGCATTCTTATATAATCAGTAACGCTAATGCAAATGCTTGGATACTAAAAAAAAACGTTTCTTTAATTTCTATGTAATTAAACCTTCTTCTGTAAAAGATTTTAATACATTCAAAGCTGGAATATGCCCCAGCAATCTGGGATCCCGGTCCCGCAACGGTTGTAACAAACATTGAACTTCTACGAAATCGCGCCGCAACTTCATAGTCTGTAACCGTCATCGCACCGCAAGTGTTTCATCTATGAAAACCACCTTAGCTGTCCCTGTCTCTCCTACCCTCACGCTCTAAAGTATGTCGTTTGCGCCTTTTTCATGGAATGTATCATTCTAACGATTTTCTGAAAGACAAACCATCCATTAGCCCCTCTTTCTTTTATTCCTTCCTGCATCGATCACCGTCTTAAAGTCGGCATACTTCATTGGTAAACTTCAGCTTACATCGACTCTTTCGTCCCCAAAACGACATTTTAATGGAACCATCTTCCCGCATTATTAGTAACGATTCCATCATTTCTTTATTGATTGAGAAAAGCACTAATTACTCACTTTTGCTTAGATTATAATGGACTACCTTTTATAACCGAGTTGTCTTGTTTGTTGAATTTTTTTTACTGAACCCCCAGTAGATGTCCACCCCCTCTGCAATGCCCCATGATCTTTCATGTAATTAAATAAATAAATAGATAAATAAATTATACATTTCTGCATATTTAATTTTGCAATATTACAACTGATAATATTTTGTTATTCCTAAAATTACACCAACTCCACTAGTCGTGTTGCAGTTTCTTTCTTATCAGACAAAATTAATATTAGCAGGTGAATTTTAAAAAAGTTATTAATTTCTTAAGTTGTTTCGAGCCACTGGTCCAGACAAAATGTACCCAGATTTCCTAAGCAACATATTGGCACCATCGCAAGATCGTGAAGATTGACATAATATTGCGTATTCTTATAAAACGTTACTAAAGAGGGATACAGATATCTAAAAGTTTCCTTTCGTGGGAGTTTCAAATTATATTTTCATTTTATTTTTTAGCACTGTCGTTATTTATACTGTTCAGGTATGGACAAGTTCTGACTTGTCTTGTAAGATATTATCACCTTGTGAAAGAAATTAATTCAAATTATGCATGCGTTAGAAAGTCGTTCAAAGGACGGACGTGTGCACACGAATGAATTAATTGATCTTGTTGTATTTTTCTAAGCTAGATACAACATCGGTACTGTGGCGTAGCCCTATCGTGCAGGGAAAAGTTCGGTAGTAATAAATGAATAATTAAATATTTAGAAAAAGGCCTTTTTTATTTTCGTTTTTCATCCGCTAGCCATTGTTCAATCACGTTTCGTTTTTCTTTTTTTAGCCAACGCTTCACACGAAAATTTCCAAACCCCGGCAGCTATGAATTTTTTGCAGCTGCGAAGATTATTTGAAGGTTCGCTTACCTCTTCCACGGGACCTCAGGACGTCGCACAAGGTTATAAACTCTGAACGCCAGCGACGTTCGCTGACCTTCAGTGCCAAGTCATCGAACCTGCGAAAAGTAGCAGTAAAACATTAATAATCAAAAAGGCATTTATTCAAGAGATGACGTCATACTTGATACGTTCTGCAGTTGTCGATGTACTATAAAACGAGGCAGGGGCCAAACTCGAAAGCACTTGCTTTTCTAAGCATATTTACGAAGGTACTTCCTAATAGTCCGCCAACAATGCGTGCCGTAACCATTTTCATCGTTACTCTTCTTGTTCTAGGAAGGTAAGAGTTTCAAGCCAAAGTAATAGCACGTTGGACGATATGAATATAAACGAAGGACCTAATGACTGCAAATTTAGGTAACGCGTCTCGAAGATACTGATTATTTAATTACAGTGTAACACCTGAGACGGCGGTGTGAAAAAAAATTGTGAAACCTTCAAGTCGTGGTACAGTCTCAGTTATTATATTATGAACAATTATCTCCAGTTCGCCTGCCCGCAAATCGCTCTTTCGAGACTGAATATGTGTGCCTCCTTAATTCTCTTATCTCGTAACTCACATGCACCTCGTTAAACACAAATCATATATCATCTAGGCTGCATACATGTGCTATCAGAATATCAACAATAACTGTTCATTTCGTGTAGCAACTACGAGTGAGGGAAAAAATTACATCCGCTAATGCTATTAACAATGCAAGAGCAATTTATTCTGCAACAATAGTATCGCGCTTTAATTTAATACTGTAAGCATTTGACAATGTGGAATTTTTCACTGCATTGGGAACCCCAGTCGAATGCCACGTGCTCTTGAACAATTACAAACGTTGGTGTTCATGCCACATGCAGAACTATGATGCATGTGCCTCTGGAGACCATGGGCACTAATCTGGACACTGGCGGCGACTGTCAGTGGCCGTCGCCAGGATCGAGCGCGGCGCCGGTCAGTCACGGCCACCGAATTTCTCGCCGATTTTTTTCGACAAAGTTTCGAGATTAGGGCGCTAGAAAAGAAGACCCACCCGATAATAGCGCAGTTAAAGACAAAGGTGTACGCGAGCTGGACAAGGATGACGAAAATAATCCCTGGACAAAGGGAACAAAGGACAAACAGAAATCTTCGAACAGAGCTAGTTAAGTGGGGCGCGAGCGAAATGATCCGCCTGGTCTTGGCATCGAACCAGGGATTCCTGCATTTCGAGTGAAGCGCTCTTGCAACTGAAGTAACCAGGAGTTTGAGGTGCCTGGTTCGATGCCCGGACCAGGCGTATTTTTTCGGTCGCGCACCTGTCACCTTGCTGCGTTTGGAGATTTGTGTTGGCCCTTTGTCCCAACTTCCCCCCCCCCTTCCCTTTTGTTCCCCTTCTCCAGGGATTATTGTCGTCAGACTTTTGGACTTGTTTCGGGTTATTTGCCAGCTCGCTACAAGGAACTAGAGTTATGCAACTCTGGTCGAGGTGAAACGTTATGCATAAAGAGCTCTAAATCTACAGTAACGACAAGGCCCCGGTACGTTACTGCGAATATAACTTCCCAAATTAAAACATTCGCAAGTATGTTTCTATCAACCTCCTAGGAAATAATTTGTAGAAATATTTTCTGAGGAAATTTTGCATATATATTTTCAGTCGATCTAAAAAGTCACATGGTATGTAGAGAGCAAGTATCGGTTCTCGCGCCGGGGTAGCGGATATGTCAGGATGCCGAACTCTCATTGGCTATGATTGGAAGGGTGCTGTCTAGACTTCAAGAGAGCTAGCACTGAGGTCTACCGACTATTCTTTCCTTCAGAGCCAATAAGAGCTCAAAATTCTGACGTCACCGGAACCCCTGCCAAGAAGCAAGCGAACCGCGAGGTTCTAGCAGACGATCTCAAGGCGTATTTTCGCTCCGCATAGATATGGAACACCCGCACGTTTTCTGCTCGTTTGTCTAAAATATGTACCATAAAAAATCGGGGGAGCGCGAACACCAATTTTACTAAAAACTGGGTGAATCTAGACGTGGGCGCTTGTCCGGTGAAATCGGGCGCTTAACAAATATTTTGCAGAATTCCAGTTTTTCTTTTTTGTTCTTTTAATGTTGATAGTGGGCACTTGAAGGAAGTGTGCCCTTCTGCAGTATTTTACGGTATGTATACATAAAAGGTGTTTTTTTTAGTTGCACCAAATTTAAAAGAAAAAGGGAACGTGAAATAGAGTAATTTGAGCCCTGGGGAAGTGTTAGTGGCCATGGCGGTCTCTAGAAAAAATGTGAAATTAGGTAATTAGTTTGCTAATTAACTAAAGTGTTTTAACTAACTTTTTAATTTTTCACTTGAGGGCACATAATGTGTTTCGGGAATTGAAGATCGGCCACAGTGTGGTCTAGTTGTGTCGTCCAATTTGGATAAAAAAATTCCTAGTATGCGCCACGGGGTCGAGAAATGTCACTTTGGTAAATGACGTCAAACCCAAATTAAACAGGAAAGAGCGCCGGCAGAGTTATCGCTTCGTCCTTCCGGGCATGCGATTCGTCATTATCACGGCCGGTTCTACTTGCTTAGGCGAGCCGGTCGCGATAATGACGAATCGCATGCCCGGAAGGACGAAGCGATAACTCTGCCGGCGCTCTTTCCTGTTTGGTTTGGGTTTGACGTCATTTACCAAAGTGACATTTCTCGACCCCGTAGCGCATACTAGGAATTTTTTTATCCAAATTGGACGACACAACTAGACCACACTGTGACCGATCTTCAATTCTCGAAACACATTATGTGCCCTCAAGTGAAAAATTAAAAATTTATTTCAAACATTTTAGTTAATTAGCTAACTAATTACCTAATTTCACATTTTTTCTGGAGGCCGCCATGGCCACTAACACTTCCCCAGGGCTCAAATTACTCTATCTCACGTTCCATTTTTTTTAAACGTTGGCGCAGCTAAAAAAACAAGAACACCCTGTATAGTTGTACATAACCTTACAAACGCTGTCTTTTTTTAACGTGATCGATGTCGTCATAACATTTATTCAATTCTCGCCCCTAATTTTTCATATTTATTACTTCACAGCTTCTACTTTGTCATGTCAGGACCCGCTTGGCAAGTGAAGGCGAAGAGACCTGCATGTTATAAGATAGTAAGTAAACGAAACATTTTAGGTTTCTAAATATTGTTCTGATTCTTTGTCGTAATCAAACTACAGTGTGTAGAATTTGAAAAAAAAGAGAAGATTATTTTAGTGTGCATTGATGACGTTAGTGGGCCGCTATCCCTTTAAGTACTTAAATTCTGTCTGGAGCCTGTTGACAGAAACAATGATAAGAATTTCCTAAAGTAAATATATTTTAAAGTAAAAAACACCTGCCCGGATGTACGCCTAAATATATATATATATATATATATATATATATATATTGACTGTGCAATGTCGTATAGTATGTTGTCTGCATTATCCTGGTAAAATAAATCAGAACTACAATTAAGTTTCCAGTGAAAAATAGATTCAAGTTTTATCGGTTGTACCGCGCTACGAGCATAATATTGCATTTTGTTAGCAAAACAAGGAGCAATACCTGGGTAATGCTAATTTATTTAAAGCCTTTTTTATTTGAGTCATTCAAATTGCTCTTCCTGTGTTGACCAAAGAAACTTTAGCTCTAGGTACTTTAGAACGAAGTGTAGTAGAAAATACCTTAACCCGGATGAGGAAGTCCGCAAAAAGGCACATTTTCCCCGCAAAGGCAAATCGCAATTGCGATGGGGAATTGCGCCGCCATTAGAAACATTCATTGATATCACAGTGTAGAAAACAGCGTACAAAATACTGAACTTCGTAATCTGAGAATGTGAAGCAGCCTGATTAGATTCTACTTGAGTACCTCAAGGAGCGATTCTGAGGTTGGTTGATTCATCGCGATTATACTTAGCCAGCCAGAAAAGTTTTCATTTTGTTTAATTTCCTCGAAGCGCTCAAAGGCATTACACATGCGGAACGAAAACATAATACGCTTAAATACAACGCGCACTAAATTCGGACAATTTCTACAAAGGGTTAAATAAACTTCTTGTTTTTCCTTTGACTCATCTACATACGAACTCAGCTCTTCCTGGTTAAAAAGCAGAATGTACACAATGCATGAAAGAAAAATAGAAAGAGAATGGGACCTTGACTAAGATAAGAAGAGGCAGACGATGCTGAGTATTTGTTTGTATGTGCTCCTACCGCTAAAAATAATACGAAAGTAAGTTGAACCTTTGGTAAACAGGTCGTCTTGTTTGGATAGTTGCAATTAAAATATTAAGATGTATCATAAAGAATACAAGGCGACGGACCTGGAAAAAGTTAGTGGTTTTCCTACTTTGATGCCTTCAATGCTGAGGCTATTCATCTGAAGTGTTTTCGTTCTAATAGAACGCCCTTAAAGGGTGAAGGCTAAACGCGTTCTTCACATAAATATGAAGTCAAAAACCATAAAATTACGCGATTGTATTGCCTCCAAAATGTATCTTGAAAGCAAGCCGTTGGAAAGCCCCTGTGTGTCAGTATTTTGGCACCGTAACACTCTATGAACTATAATCTGAATTCGCGCAAAAAATGCACTCAGTCTTATTCAGGTGAACCACGATCCCTGTCGCATGCCACATTTCGATAGCAGAGGAATGGTGCTTTTCCTACTGGATCCTTTATTAATTTTTCTGCCTGTGCTATCATCTAGAAGGATGCTTCCAACGATACTTTCATTAGTCAGCCTCTGGGTAAATGTCTCTGTGGTACTTGCTGAAGTTGTTACCTGCGTGAGGTATATCTGCAATATGTCTCAGACCGGACGAGCAAGTATCTCAACTGACAGGTTGTGCCCTAGCTTGCTGATTGGGAATTTCATGTATCACGCGCCGCCCATAAAGTCGTTCTTTGGGCATGCTTAGAAGTACGTCTAAATGTTTAAAAAGCCGACTGTAAGGGAGCGATGAGGCGACTTCACGCGAGCATCTCAAACGCCGTGTTTGGACGTTTTGGAGATTTTTCCTTAACAGAGTCAGCTGAAGAGAGGTCGAGCATATCCGCTTATTTCTTTGTGTGACAACACACTTAATTCTTGTAGATTAAAACACGAATTTGCGGAATGCATAAAATTAACACAGAAGCAAGAAAACATTGTTATGATATGACGTAGACAGAAGCATTTGTGGCCTCTGCGCAGACAGTGCACATGATCACAAAGTGGGATTTTTAATTTTTTATTTACCTTTTGATAGGAGCAAAGAAAGTTCAAAGTGAAGTTCATTTTTATGATGACAGCAATTTCTTACCGCGTCGCGGCTAGGACGAACAGTTGTTTCTACGTACTAACCATCCCTAATCTTTTGCTTTTTTTCATGCTAACGAATTCTTGGAAATTATTTTGACCATACCGAATTTGATCAATTTAGCAACATTTGTGTTATATAAATAAGCACTCTCTATAAAATATATTATTTAGCCATTGTCTAAAATACATGTTTATATCTTGTTACAGGAATGCACGAAAGATGCAGACTGCAAAAGAGGGTCCTGCTCACGTTGCAATAGTAACGTCTGGGGCGACAACACTTGCCGCTGAGAGTAGAGTGGATCAAGGGTCTTCATGCTCTAATGCACAAATAAACGTTGGATACTATATTGTTGCCCGTGTCATATAGCTTAATTAAATGACTTAGTATCTTATGTTGAAAAAAAAATGCACAGCCGACTTGGGCCAACTGGGGACACCTCCAGACACTGCACTGCGCCCAGCCATAAAAGCTGGAGGTCGCACCTCGGACGGATCTTGATATATTTTTTGGCGCGGCCTTGCCTACTGTCGAAGCTCGCCCGTGAACAATTCAATCACTCAAATACTACAAATAAATTTGGAGAAATGTTGCCTAGGACGACAAACATTTGGAGGAGAAACGACTGGTTACTCTCATCCTATTGGCTAAATTTTTTTAATCGTTCTCAGACAATTATTAAGACATGTATGTCAACTTTCTCAAGCTACTGTTACATAAATATCACTGAAGAACATCTGAAAAAATTCTGAGAGGCCGTGAACTCAATACCAAGCTCGTACACCTATAACGAACATAACTTTCCATTGGCCTTTCAACCTGTTGATCTGAACCTTCGTTGGGGGAATGTTCCAGCTCGGAAGGTTCAGATAGTGCAACGAGCAATGTAAGTTTGGTGAACAGAAATATACATAGACGGCCTTATATTCAACATCAATAAGTAAGAATCACTGAGGTGATGCAGTTAAAACATCGGTTGAAAGGAACTTACGGCACATAAGGAAATGAAATACAGCTCAGTTAGATAATGTGGCAATCTTAGTATCTTTAAAAAAAGAGAAAAAAAAAACAGATCTGGGATTTGTACGTTGTAGGGGGACACGTTCGCAGTCACATGCTCGAGATAATGTGAGAGGAAGACAGAATACATTGGCGTAGGTATATGAAATGCCATATTTCTGCTTGTAGTGAAATCTTGGTAAAACAAAAAAGCGTAGTGTTAAGCATACGGCGATGCGTGCTGTTGGAGTACTGAGTTTTGTCATCTAAAATTAGCATTTGTTTTACGTGTTGATATTTCTGAAATAAAGAAATAGATATATTGGATCTGGAAGCAGCTACATTGCCTACCCGGGGCTAGTGAGGAATTATGTACCTAAGACATTTCCTCGTATAGCTTCACTCGAACTTTGCTTCACTCGAACTTTGCTTCACTTGCTAATTTCACTCTAGCTTCACTCTAGATCTAGCTTCGCTCAAGCTTCATTCTAGCTTCACTTGAATACGGTAACCAGGATCCCAAAGAGATGACTCATTTAAGCTTGATCTGTATAAGCGTTTTGTAAAGAATTAATTAACGGAATAGATAAGTAATTAAAACTTTTATTTTAATGAAGCCTACCGTGCCTTTTAAGTGTTAGTAATGTAGGCAAAATAAATCTTCCATGAGGGAAAAGATGGTAGGCGAACTTTTAAGATCTTGCAAACAGGCAAGTCCCTGAGGAGGACGATTAAAACGCCCAGAATGAGGCCTAGGTGACGCACACGACACCCGAACACCCGCAAAGTAGACAAAGAGAGGAGGGGATGGATTTCATTTTCCACAAAAATACAATTGTGACCACAAAGGTCGGCAAAATGCTGATAGTTTTCAGCATGACGTTTAAGCCAACGCCCCTGAAACTTGCTCCAAGCGGTACGATGGCATCATATTCAGGGTGTCTGAGATACCGGCCTACACTCTAAGAAAAAGTGAGCATCCCCCTAGCCATCATGCGTTTTGACGACTGTAACTACCCCACAGGCTTACTTAACAACCCACTGGGCACGAGCCATTAAGCGTTACCACCCTGTTGGCAAGTGACAAGCATGGGGTAGTCACGTTTTATAAACTCTTGAATTGAACATTCAAGTGCATGCAGTCGTTCAATAGTAAAAGTCACTTCAAAAATCTCAAAAAGTACTTGAAACTTGTTTTCTTTGTGCGTTGTTACCATTTATTCAAATTTGAACCGGTCGAAACAGGCGTGTGGCTCAGTTCGCCTAAACTGGCAGAAAACAAACATTGCCAAAGAGTACAAGCAACCTTGGTAGGCACCTACTAAAACCCGAGGCAGATAAAAAGTATCGCGGTTGTCCTTTTTGGTTCCGTCGCGGGTTTTACCATGTACTGCTAGTAAACAGCTGGTATCTGGCGTCGTGCTCGAGGAATTTAACCAAATCTCTAGAAAAGCACAGGAAGCTACGCACAGGCGTGAGTTGACTTGAATGTTTGCCGGACGAGATACTCTTGTCGTCTTTCATAGTGCGGTTCAGTAAAGAGCGTGCTCTGATTAAAGGTGTGATCGGTCAGTTCTGCGTGCTGATCAGTTGCAAATGGCCTCCTCGGTTCCGCCGAACTTGCATGCCTGTCATACCCAATTTCTTTTGCTTTCAAGTGCAGTGAAGTACGAACCATTGAACACCACGAGCGAGGCCGGACAGGACGAACGTACACAAATATCTGGGATCATGCCCGTGTATTTCAGTATTTCTCTGTCTTGGGATATATGATTCGCCTTCACTGGCTCATTTGGCACATTTCATCGAGCATACTAGATAAAAAATGCTTCAAATAAGTGTGTCATCCAAGGTGGAGTACTTTGAAGGGGACTAGTATTTCAGGCCTTTCGGCACGCGCTCCTTTTACCTATATGAAAGATTCCAAGTAACTTTCCAAAAATAAGGCGTTGGCAAACATACACATGCTATTTGGTTTAGATTTTTTTTTTTTTTTTTAGAAAAATTAGTGCTGGAGAAGTTAGCAGGTGCAGCGCAGAAAACTATGTTCTCGGCGTTCTTTGATGCTTGAGGCCGGTTCAGACACTTGCGTTTGAATGCGTTTGACAGCGTTGCGTCGAGAACCGAAAGCGACTCGCCGGCACATCTGTGCTTTGTATGAAGCGTGGAATCCAATTCAAAGAATCGTCTTGGCACGCGATCTAAGCAGCAGGGATGTCCTGGCTTCTCGCTGCCGCAAGGCAGTCAAACGCAACTGTCTGAACCAAGCTTCAGATAATTTAGCATGCGTATTTCACGTTCGCGGTAGATGAATGCAGGGGCCCGAAAACGGCAATTCTGCACTCTCCTCTTGGCGCGAGCGCGAGCGCATAAAAAGCGTATTTGAAAGACACGCGCTTGAGCAGAAACAATTGTAGCGAAAAGAAGAAAACTGAAGCAACGCTTCGGGGAGGACCGGCGGACGGGCTTCGCTAGAATCACCTGCACGCGCTCAGTGTACTCAACATTTACTCAACCGCCGCTGAAGTCATTCGGATATGTAAAAAGAGAAACGAAAATGCATCAGCGTGTTGAAAAAGTTGTGGTTGCAGAAATTGGTTTCGATAATTAATACAATTAATTAAACAGGCTTCTGTATACTTGAAGTGTAGGCAAGCGAGAAAACGAAACTGATCAAAACGTGACGTGTAGCGACTATTCAATTTGATTTATAACCTGCAGTTCACTTTTGCAATGTATAACATTAGAGATACGAGCGCTTTCCTAAGGGCAGTAGTGGAAAAGAATATATACGGCTAAATCTTGCACAGTCTTTTCGTATTTATGCAAAATATGACAGTGCTCACCATCCTAATCGGTCACAGAAAATACAGCAGTATATAAGCTGGTGGTGTCGACTAGTTGTGTGTATGGGAATGTAGAGTGTCAGTACCTCATGTTGTACCTTGTGCTGTTTGTGAACGCGTTCATGTATAATATTGTAGGTGTCGCGTATGTGTGAAGTGTGGTGTGGAATATGTAGTGCGTGCATGTCTGGCGCAAAGAGCTCGATTTGTCTGGTGAGGCGCTCAGAGCAAAGACTGTTGGTTGCTGTTTTCTTTGTTTGAGCGCTGTCCGTTCGGTGATGCGTTTTGCCGCCCAATTCAAGGAGTCGCGTGTTTATGTGTCTACTTACTTGAGTGAAAAACATGGGGCGCTCCATGGCTCCACGGAGCAGCCGAAAGGGTTCGACTCTCGGCCTCTTGTCCCAGTAGAATCAGTCCCATAGCCAATCGAATGGGTGTTCCGTGCGGTGAATAGTGCGTGCACAGACGCGGTGGGGATGAACTTGAAAGTGGATAACGAAAGCTAAAAGGTGAGCAGGAGCGTTGAAGGACCCGATGCCGCTTGAATCGGTAATGCCTCGCCTCGCCGCTGTCAACCGAAAACGCCGGATCACTTACGGCAAGCACAGCAAGCAGATTCTCTGTTCAATGAAGACATCATTTCATTTGTCGCTATACGAGTCCTTCTTTGAATGTTTTCTGGCCGCGAAGTAAATACAGCCGGCCGCGCGAAAGCAGTCGCGGACAAACCCCCTCGAATGCCCCCCTCACATCGCCGCCTCTACTCGTAATGGTGGCGGTGCCGGTGCTTCGAGGCGCGTTTTGGACTGCTTTAGTGCTCACGGAAGGCAGCGAACGGGCGTACGCACTTGAGAATCGTATTTTAGCAAAAAGCAGTCCAGCTCGCTAGGCCTTACTCGTATTGCTCCACTGTCGCTTGCCAGCCGCCATGTTGCTTTTGGGGGTGCTCACTGTGACTACCTGTTTATTGCATGCCGCGTGACTACCCATGAGGTCATTAGTAATACTAAAGGGGGGTAGTGATATCGGTGACGGCTTCTGACTACCCCAAATGTAGTACCCTACGACTACCCTTTTGTTGAGAGTGTAGCCATTTAAACCGACCGCAAAAATCGGTTTCTTAACCTACCGCTATGAATTTATGCAACGTTGCCCACAGGTAGTGCGTTTGTTCTATAAAATTTGCAAAAGTCCAACCTACCTGACAAAAATGTAAAAAAGAGAAAAGGATTAACTTCTTTGGAAACGAAGCGAAGCCGCCCGTCTTCAAGCTATAGGGCGCTGCTTGACACGGGAGACAAGAGATGGCAAAGCGGTCGCAACGCCAACTGACGCCAACGAACGAGCATACGGCGCCGAGAGCCGGCGTCATTAGCGGACGTTATTCTCGACTCTAAAGCGGTGCGCGTTCCGCAGGCGGCGACAGTCGCAGAACCAGAAACAGT